GTTGCTGTTGTAGTTCAATACTAACATCGTATTTGTCGCTTTCCTGAATATGTTGGTCTTTAGGCCACCACAATGTTTGCAAAAGATGGGGACACCGAAGACGGCCAGCTGGTTGTTGACTTACTCCTCCATCGTACAATGTGTATCCGGGAAGACGCTGTTGAGGTATTTCTTGAACGTGACCGCCTGATCAAGTTAGATGACGGCCAAGGTATCATCGTTATGCCAGGCCCAGAATTTCGATGTGTGGTGTAGGATGATCAATAACTGTACCCGTTGTAGGACCCTATCAGTTATGATTTCAGAAATCGGTGAACCGACTAGTCTTCCCTCCACTTGCTATTTTCTCTGATGATGGATCCACATCAGATGAATATTGTAATTGCCTCCTGGTCACTTCCGCCTCTTCTCGCATTTCAGCTTTCCAAATGAAAACCTTGAGATATGCGCAGCTAACTTTGTTCAGTTTGTAAATTTAAGAGCACAAGTACAACCTTAATGTCTATTTTCATAGTATGCTTTGTTACCATTGGTGTTGTCTTGGGCTAAAATATTTTCTTAAATGGAGAAATATGTATGCCAGTTAGGCCTATCAGCAAGCATATTATCACGACACCTTATATTGTCAGATAAAGAGAATTCAATAACCGAAATCCTTAACCGTAAAGATTTTTAGGTCCCGTCCGCCACCTTAAAGTAGCTAAACTACTTAATGAAATTTTAATCCAAATTGTGAAATGCGTTTTTTAGTAAAACAGCATTACTTTCGTGTGCTTTTAATCTTGACTAGTATGCAGTTTAATTCTAAAATATGCAAGTCTCGATAACCTGTCTGCTTTTAAATGTGATAATTTCCGGATATCTTAAAAACTAAATTTGCCAAAATGGATACATAAGTAGTATGTATTTTTGACATTGCTTGTCGATGCCCTCATATATTTGGACATATTTTATAGATACCATGAGGCAAGGCAATATACCGCAGCCTCATTGGATGTTAAATTTCGTCTTCCTTGACTTTTATTCTTGAAGAAAGGGTGCTGCAAAGTTAAAAAAATCAATTCTAGAATATTTTTGCGTGCAAAATGCCGTTGTGCTTACGTGTACGCTTTCCAAACTATATGTTGTGCAATTTTTGTCAAACAAAACTCATTCATCACAGTTTTTAAGAAAGCGTCTTAACTTTGTGATGAATATAGACTATGTTGTAAACTTCCTATGATGTAGGCAGTAATAATAGAGAGTCAGAGAGGATGCGCCTAAAATATTTACAATTGCACGCCCCTTTGTCTAAACCGAAGGAAACCCTTTCCATAAGTGAAAACATTGAAGAAAACTTCCTTTGTTTAGAAAATGAGTAGAAAAAGAACATGTTTGGGCCCATTTTAAATCAAAGGTAACAATCTATAATAGCGTTTACCACGAAAACTAACCTCCCAACAATCTGAATTACGGGACCTGTGGTGAAAGGGGTTAGACGGGTGGGGCAATACGGGGGCGCAGAAGAGAAGATGAAATAAATATATATCAAACGAAAACAGGAAATAGTAGATGGACTTAATATAAAAAAACTAATTTAGCGCAACGACAAAACATGGGATAATTGAGGAATAAATAACAATAAAAAGTAATGAATTTAATTAAATAAAGGTAATAAGATAATAAGAAAAATTAATAATAACAAACTATCATTATCACAAGTCAAGTATTACAGAACTTTAGGGTTTTGGTTTCCGTAGTGAACCCTATGATAGATTGCTACCTGATAATGTATATGCGTTGAATTATAAGGGAATTGCAAGTCTATTTACTGCATCCATGTTAATAACGTGGTCATTCATCGGGTTGTACAACAAGAAACTCTTTCAAAAGCTGGCATTCGGTGGAAAACAAGATTTAGAATTTGGATTGAAATTTCATGAGGTAGGCCAACTACTTTTGAGCGCATTCCCATTCGTACACTACTGTAACACTTAAGTGTGCAGCGTGATATCTTACTTGATCACTCGAATTTATTCACTCGGGACTCAGGCTACTCCATTCGTTTAGTCGCGTTTTATCAATCCGCGGCCCAGTTCAAGTGCATGCGCCTGCTTATATCACTTAAAATCATGAGCAATCATAAATGTAGGCCTCCAAGGCCTCGTGTACAACAAACCGGTTAGAAACCAATATTCTCCTTTTGCATACGTTGTTTATTTTCTGCAATAAGTGCACTTTCGCTGCCTTTTTAGTACAAATTGCGACAGGCAGCTGTGATTGCAAAATTAGTAACAGCGCTCGAGCAGGTTCAAGTGGACGTGTCTCCAAGCAACGGGTTAAACAAGGCAGAGTTGGAAGATGCCATCGCGGCAGTGTTGTGCAATCTCTCGGCACATGATAACTTCCGCAAGGAGATTATCGACAGCACGATTCCAATCCTGATGAACGCTATTATTTTGCCCCACTCCGGCCTGCCTCAGCAGAGGCAAGAAACTGAAGTTTTCTCTGATGAGCCCAGTGCGGATTCTGCCCCTGAAGCACCGGCCTTGGTCTTTGCCACCGGAACAGTAAGGTAAATCGGTTTCCCACGGTCCCTAGGCTTTGAATGACCACATTTCTAATTAGTGCTGGCAGTCCACCGTCATTTAAACATTTTTTTCGCTCAGAGTTAGTCTTCTACAACTCAAGCGCATTTTATATAAATGTATATACATTGGCATATAGGCC